ATTATGTTTTTATTTCTTGGACTAAACCACTGAGGCTAGGGCTTGCCGACCGGAAGGTTGGCGGTTCAAATCCCCATGGCGGGGTGAACTCCCGTTGCTCTGTCCCAGCTCCTGCCAACCTAGCAGTTCGAAAGCACATCAAAGTGCAAGTAGATAAATAGGTACTGGTCTGGCGGGAAGGTAAACGGCGTTTCCGTGCGCTACTCTGGTTTCATCAGAAGCGGCTTAGTCATGCTGGCCACATGACCCTAAAAAAACTGTCTGCGGCATGGGTAGGCAAACTAAGGCCCAGGGGCCGGATCTGGCCCAATCGCCTTCTCAATCCAGCCCGCGGATGGTCCGGGAATCAGCATGTTTTTACATGAGTAGAATGTGTCCTTTTATTTGAAATGCACCTCTGGGTAATTTGTGGGGCCTGCCTGCTGTTTTTACATGAGTAGAATGTGTGCTTTTATTTAAAATGCACCTCTGGGTAATTTGTAGGGCATAGGAATTCGTTTATTCCCCCCCCCAATATAGTCTGGTCCCCCACAAGGTCTGAGGGACAGTGGACCAGCCCCCTGCTGAAAAAGTCTGCTGATCCCTGGTCTGCGGGCAAACACTGGCTCCCTCGGCCAGTAAAGCGAGATGAGTGCCGCAACCCCAGAGTCGTTCGCGACTGGACTTAACTGTCCTTTACCTTTACCTTTATGTCTTGGAAGCCACCCAGAGTGCCTTTGGCAACCCAGCCAGATGGGAAGGTTATTTTCATTTGAGGAATGTTGGAGGGTATGCGCTCCGCTCGCATTGAGCTCCAACCCCTCCCATCACGAACAGGACATCTTAGACTTGTTTTGGAAGGTCTGGGTTGTTTCCCCTCCTATGTGTGTGTGTGTGAATATTTGATGCACATTCTATTATGTGGTTTTGCAAGGCTTCTAACTTCGGAAGCCATCATTGGAAACTGCCCCAGCCGCAGAGCTAATGGCATCCCTTGCTGAGCTCATTCTAATCCTAGCAGCTGAAAGCCGTGCAATGAATCACACAGAGCGTATCAGGTTTCTAAAAAGAACAACCCGCCCAAAAAAACCCAGTGATGTTTTTGAGGTTCGTCAGCAGAGAGAAAATGACACAACTAGGCCAAGTTCTCACCTGTGTCTGGGCTATTATTTATTTTTATTTATCTATAAAGAAAATATTTATATACTGCTGTCTCATTAAAAAAAATCATCAGAGCAGTGCTATTTGTGGATAAAACATTGAAATGAAAGCCACATTTTAAAAGTTACCAGCAGACATCCATTAACCATTGTGGAAAGGCGTATTCTTAACTGCCAGCATAGGTATGGTGAGATAGAAAAGTTTTTGGCAGGTGTTTAAATGCTGGCACAGAAGTTGCCTGCTGAATCTCTAGTGGCAGAGAGTTCCACAGGACTGGGCGGATGGCACTAAGGGCTTGGTTCCTTGTTGTTGTCAAGTGAGCCTCACCAATGATGCTCCTGCAAATGATCTCAGTGATCAAGCTGGGATATAATGGTTCAGGGGTCCCCCAGTTATCCTGGAACAAAATTGTTCAGGACTTTGTAAATTAACACATGCTTTAACAATGGTGTCACATTGCCATCAGAAATCTGGCTGTCACATTCTGCCCCAGGTGCAATAAAAGCATGTCTCTCTCGTATCGGTTTCTACAGCCACAGCAGGCGCCGTAACTCTCTAAAGTATGACTTCACCTCTGAAGGTGCATTCCTCCACTGTCTCCCGAGACAGACAGACGCCAACAATTTTGCACCAAGGGGTACTGAGGGTAAGGGATGGATGCGACAAGCCATGATTCTGAAGCCAATGCAATCCGCCATGCTACTTCTGGGGTCAGGGGATGAGGACACTCCAGAACCCTTTGCAAAACGTCGTGTCTGAGCTCAAGTCCTGCCTATTGCCGTGTTTCATCTATGAGTCACACTTGCTAGTTATTACCTGTTGGACCTGAGAAGGCTGCAGGTGCAAGACTGGCAGATCTGTCAAGATCAGAGTGAGCAATGGGATGGATAGTATGGAACCACAGATGTAGGCAGGGGTCAAGGGAGCTTCACTGGGTTTAGGTTTTTTTAAATGAAGTGTTGGAAAAACCAAGCTGACAGAGCAACTGTACTAGGAACAGCAGCTTCCTCCCCTTCCCTGCTTTGGTATAGTTTCAAACTGGACGGGCAACCGTGTGCTGAGCTTCCTGCATTGCAGGGGGTCAGACTAGATGACCCGTGGTGTCCCAACTCTGCAATTCTATGATGCTATGATACTACGGGGAGGGAGAAATGCAAGCAGGGAGAGTTGGGGACAGGTCATGCTTATGGGCTTCCCTGAGGCATCTGGTCGGCCACTGTGAGAACAGAATACAGTGGAACCTCAGTTTTCAAATATAATCCTTTCCAGTAGTCTATTCAATTTCCAAAACATTCGAAAACCGAGGATCAAAGGGCTGTCAGCAAGTTCAGTGGGGAAAAATGAGAAATGAAGCCATTTGATTTCTGAGATGTGTTCGTAAACAGAAGCATTTACTTCTGGGCTTTTGGCGTTCAGCTTCTGACATGTTCAGCAGCCGAGATGTTAAAAAAGCAAGGTTTGACTGTACAGTGGTACCTTTGGTTTCAGATGCTTCAGGTTACATACTCCGCTAACCCAGAAATAGTACCTCGGGTTAAGAACTTTGCTTCAGGATGAGAACAGAAATCTTGTGGCAGCGGCAGCAGGAGGCCCCATTAGCTAAAGTGGTGCTTCAGGTTAAGAATAGTTTCAGGTTAAGAACGGACCTCCAGAACAAATTAAGTTCTTAACCAGAGGTACCACTGTACTGGGCTAGTTCTGGACTAGCAAAGCTGTCTTTCTTTCCTTCCCCCCAAGCATCCACTTTCATTAATAACCCTACTACTAATTATTTATTACTTATACCCCGCCCAGCTGACCAGGCCTCCCTAGCCACTGTGGGCAGCTTCCAACAGGATATTAAAAACACAATAAAACATCAAACACTAAAAACTTCCCTAAACAGAATATATTGTGGTAAATGTGTCCAAGAAAACATACAAATGAAAATGGCACCAAAACATGCCTGTTAGTTAAAATTGCATGCAAAGTGTACACTAGGAAGAATTCATGCTAAAACGCTGGTGGATCTTCATGAGGGCTGTAAAAAATGAAAATTGCAAACTGATCTGGAAAGGTAGTGAACGGATGACTGTTTAAAGGAGAAACCGAAACCAAAATTGACAAATTTGCCCTATGATTTCATTGGCAGTTCTCCAGTGTGGGTGCGGGTCATTCTACGACAAGGAAGCTGCTTAAATGTTGCGGAGCTGGCCTTTTCAGACCGTCTCCTGCAGGGATTTAATTGGACGGACACCGTCTGCCCATTAGCGGGTATCCTCAAGTGCAGAGCCGTCAGAATCCAGCACACTGAAAAGGTGGGGTGAAACACCTGGAGAGAAAAAGTCCATTTAAAGCTCAGCTCACAGTAGCAGACCAGCCTCTGGGCAGAACATAACAGGTGTGAAATGGTGTTTGCTTGGTTATGTTTACCACCACCACAGCCACCCAGAGATCATATGGCTTCCTCTTCCCACCGCAGGAAGGAAACAGATGAATCTTACCTTGGCGGGAGCCCAATTTGCTACACCAGGAGGTGGGCTGGATTTGTTTTTATATTTGGCAATTGCTCCCTTGGTGGCAGAGCTCCCTGTTGGCATCAGGTGGGAATATAAGTTCAGATGTGGATTTTCGTTTGGATTCCAAGGCCCACCTTCTTCCTGGAGACTCGGGGCCAGGAACTGTATTGAGAAACAAGTAAACGTGTGTGTTTACTCATGTAATAAACGTATGCCCTTATTCCCTTATGGGGGACACAATCCCTAATAGAGTCCTTTGCAGGTTCTCCATCGGTTGGAGAAAATAACAGAGGCCAACCAGAGAATACTGAGAAGCAAAGCAGCTAGTAAGCCTGATCTTTATTGAACTGTTGCAACAGGGTGCTCCCCTCACACGCAGGAAAGGAGGAGGACCCAGAACCAAGGTGTGCCCGCCCTTATATAGACATTTTAAATTGCCTGCCCTGGAGTCCAAGGCCACCCCCAGAAACATCATACATACATCACAGAAGGGGTGTAGCTCAAGACCACCCCCCAGACACATCATACTTACATCACAGAAAGGGCGGTCTACAACAGAAATCTGAGTGCGTTGTTTATCTCCTGTCTGGCAGGTTACCTGTTAATGTTTACTTGATACCCTGGGGAGCCTGGCCAGTCTTTTGTAATGACAAATACTTCCTGAGCCAGGTCACAGGCTCACCCTATTCATACACAGACATACCCTTAATATAGGATTTATGAATGAAAAGACAATGGGGAGGCTCCCGCACCTCCTCCCTCCTTGCAGATAAAACATTTGATCAGTTTGGAAGTGAAAATGGTTTCAGGGTGGTCCTCCTGTGCTGCTCCAGACATGTGGTCCACACATCTATGTATGCGCTTGGTTGGTACATTTATGAACATTTATTTTTTATATATATATAAAAGACCTTATTTTTTTTATTTCACTCAGAAGCAGGTATGTATGTTTTGAGGATGTAGTTAATGCAAAAGTACCCATGGTGCCTTTCCCTCAACCATATGCTAACCACAATTCTGTTGCCCTTCCAAATTTCCACATTTCTGAAACTTGCAGTTCCCTAGCTGAAATATTTGTACAGAAATGCATGTATTAGTCAAAGATAACAGATGAAAAATTGCATTAGTTTGGGGGGAAATTGCAATGGAGGTAGAACATAGCCACTGCGGCTAGCAGCCGTGGATAGCTTTGTTCTCCTTGAATTTTTCTAATCCTCTTTCAAAGCCATCCATGTTTGGTAGCCAACACTGCCTCCTTTGCCATGACATCATCAGTAAATAAACTGAAAGCTAAGAAGAGTCTTGCTGGATCAAGGGCCATCATGCTCTTACAGTGGTTAACCAGATGTCCACAAAGCCTCCTGTGATAGCTCAATTGGTAGAGCATGAGATCCTTAATATCAGGGTTGTGGGTTCGAACCCCACCTTGCGCAAAAGATTCCTGCATCACCTGGTGTTTCTGTGGACTAGATGGGCCTAGTGGCACCAGCCCTGTGGAACGCCCTCCCACCAGATGTCAAAGAGAAAAACAACTACCAGACTTTTAGAAGACATCTGAAGGCAGCCCTGTTTAGGGAAGCTTTTGATGTTTAACAGACTATTGTATTGTAATATTTTGTTGGAAGCCCCCCAGAGTGGCTGGGGAAACCCAGCCAGATGGGCAGGGTATAAATAAATTATTATTATTGTTGTTGTTGTTGTTGTTGTTGTTGTCCCTTCCGACTCTACATTTCTATGATTCTATTATTCTCAGCAGGACCCGAGCGTAACAGCACTCTCCCTGCTTTTGATTCTTCAAATTGGTATTCAGCAAATTGGTGCTCTGAAGGTGGACTCATAGCGATGACTCATAGCCATGACCTGACATGTAAAAATCGTATTATTATTTTTTTTAAAAAAGCAGCTGATTGGTGTTTTGCTATGTCCCCATTGTTTCAACTATTTGCTCAGCTATTGTTCCCCTCTCTCCGCCTTCAGTGCCTGCCAAGAGAGAGTTTTGCTTCTCCTAACAATTAAAGCCGATGGAGATTGTGAGAGTTTGGAGGGATCTGTAGGTAATTTTGCCAGCAGCAAGGGATTGCCAGGAAAATTTCCCTCTCTCTCAAGCAAACTCTGGAGTACCAGAACAATGAGGAAGGAACAAAGGGATGATTGGTAGATAATTGTTGTGGCCAGGATGAATGATATGCAAATGAAGCCAGCTATTCCTCCTCTGGTTATGATGTACCCAAGCTTCACACCTGTGGAAGAGCTACAAGGTGACATGGAATTTCACCAGCAGCAAGGCCAGTGTTATGTATGTGACCTGACCACAAAACTGTTACAGTGGTACCTCGGGTTAAGAACTTAATTCGTTCTGGATGTCCGTTCTTAACCTGAAACTGTTCTTAACCTGAGGTACCACTTTAGCTAATGGGGCCTCCCGCTGCCACTGTGCCACCGCTGCACGATTTCTGTTCTCATCCTGAAGCAAAGTTCTTAACCTGAGGTACTATTTCTGGGTTAGCAGAGTCTGTAACCTGAAACATCTGTAACCCGAGGTACCACTGTATATGGAGCTGTTATGGGGGAACCAAACAGCTAAATGTTAAAGTGAAAAACAGCTCCATATAGGGTAGAAGGAGGGCTCCAACACACAAAGTAAAGCTAGGTTGGATGAGAGATGATGGGATGGCAGAAGGTGATTAGGTGAGATGATGTCTATTTTAGGGTTACCAGACGTACCCGGTTCCCGGGGACAATTCCTGGATTTGCAAATCTGTCCCCGGACAAATTCCGTCCCCGGAATGTCCCCAGATTTGCAAATCTGTCCCTGGAAAATGTGGCAGTGGCAGCCTTAGCAGCCTGGAACCAGCCTGGTAGCGCAGTTTGCTCTGGTTGGCTTCAGGAGTTGCTCGCTGCCATGGCACCTGCCATTTTTCCTTGCTGGAAGTCCCCATATGATGTGTCTTGTGCAATCTCCTGCCCCCTTCCCCCTTTGTTTTGACAGATCGGGAGAGGCTCGGGAGTCGGGTGGGCAGCCGTTGCCCAGTTTAAAAAAACCCTGTGCATCTAGTCCAACCCCCAGCAATGCAAGAACCTCAGTTAAAGCATTGATGACAGATGACCAGCCAACCTCTGCTTAAAAACCTCCAAGGAAGGAGAGTCCACAACCTTCTGAGGCAGACAACAAGCAACTCTCCACTCGTGTGAGTTCGAGTTGGGCGCAATCGTGCATACGTGCGCCATTTTCAGGGTGCTGCAGGAACAAAGGAATATCTAAGCAGTTTACAATTTGCTTTGAATAACTGAGGTGGGATTACTGTCAGACCCAGTATTATTGTGGCCTGTGTCATGTATGCAAGAATGTGTCTTTACCGCAAGGCTGGTAAGTACCCGTTAAAGAGGAGATCAATGGTTGACTCCATGTAAGGTACAAGGAGGGTTCTGACACATACAGTAAAAAGGGTTTTAACTGGACCATAAAGAAGGCTGATCGCCGAAGAATTGATGGTTTTGAATTATGGTGCTGGAGGGGACTCTTGAGAGTCCCATGGACTGCAAGAAGATCAAACCTCTCCATTGTGAAGGAAATCAGCCCTGAGTGCTCACTGGAAGGACAGATCCTGAAGCTGAGGCTCCAAGACTTTGGCCACCTCATGAGAAGAGAAGACTCCTGGAAAAGACCTTGATGTTGGGAAAGATGGAGGGCACAAGGAGAAGGGGACGACAGAGGACGAGATGGTTGGACAGTGTTCTTGAAGCTACCAGCATGAGTTTGACCAAACTGCGGGAGGCAGTGGAAGACAGGAGTGCCTGGCGTGCTCTGGTCCATGGGGTCTTGAAGACTCGGACATGACTAAACGACTAAACAACAACAACAAAAGGGTTTTAAAGGACTGTGTTGGGTGAGAGGTGATGAAGCACTGATTGCGGCAGCAGGCGGGTGGGTAGAGGATGAACAGCTAAGATGATGTGTATTTGCCTATGTAGTATTGTGTCCTAATGGAAATGAACTTCGCAGGAAACGGTGTTCTCTCTGCCACAATGAGGACTCGAACCTTGTTCTTTGGATCTTGCAAAGTGAACCTCTTTCCAGGCTGGCACCACTCTTGCATGAAGAAGAAACAAAGTCATTACATATTTGAAGCTTAGCATACAGAGACAGGCTAGGCTAGATCACCTTTTGATAGTATTCAGTCACCCCAATTTTACCACCTCACCTGTGTTTCTGTGTACCTGGCCTGCCTTTGGAGCAGAGGGAATGGCCTTATACAGAGTCACACCGGGATTTCAGATGTGGGGACAATCCCAGCTCTACCTGGAGAGGCCAGGCATTAAACCTGGAGCCTTCTGCATGCAAAGCAGATGTTCCTCAGCTGAGCTACCACCTTTCTCATTATGGGACAGGAATCCACAGGCTCTCAGATCCCTCCCTGTACCTTTGCAGCCCAGCAAAGGACCTAAAGTGCTAGCGAAACCAGTTCTGCATAGTATCGCATCCCCTTTCTTTTCTGGCGCTCATCACACCCAAAAGCAGACATCCCACTCAGGCTTGTAATTGATTTCAGTTTATAGGGCTGTTAAATGGAATGCTGCGCCTGCAGAAAACCATCTCTTTCTGGCCCAGGGAGACAGAGAGAGAGAGAGAGAGAAGTCAAATGATTTGATCAATGAGAGAGCTTGAATAATGCATTTAGAAAAGCAAGGAAGTGTCAAATCATACCACCAAGTGGCCAGGGAGCCTGGTTACAGAACCACAGAATTGTCAAGTTGGAAGGGACCCCATGAGACATCTAGTCCAACCCTCTGCAATGCAGAAATCACAGCCAAGAAATCCCTGTCAGAAATGCTATGAAGACAAGGAGTGGAATGCAAAGGCACACTAATATGATCGTTCTCTCACTGCAAGGAATGGAGCTTTGTCCCTCTACTCACCCCACACTCTGTTCTGGGGGTGCTCTTGTCCCTCCCCCCACCCCAAGCTGATTGGCTCTCCTTAAAGAAGCTCGCCTTCATTGAAGCAGGGTCGAGGCAATGATTCTTCAGCATCAGCTTCATAGGACTGGTCATGTTTTGCTCTATTCCGAACTTAAAAATGGAAAGCGTAATGCTGGTGGTGAACAAAAGAGGTTTAAAGACTCTCTCAAGGCACAGCTAAAAAAAAATGTAGTATAAACACCAACAATTGGGAAACACTGGCCTGCGAGTGCTCCAATTGGAGAACAGCCTTTACCAAAGGTGTCATGAGCTTTGAATAATAATAATAATAATAATAATAATAATAATAATAATAATTTATTATTTATACCCCGCCTGTCTGGCTGGGTTTCCCCAGTCACTCTGGGTGGCTTCCAACAGAATATTAAAATACAATAATCTATTAAACATTAAAAGCTTCCTGAAACAGGGCTGCCTTCAGATGTCTTCTAAAAGTCTGGTAGTTGTTTTTCTCTTTGACATCTGGTGGGAGGGCATTCCACATGGCGGGTGCCGCTACTGAGAAGGCACTCAAATTCAGGACACAAGGGAAAAATGTGCTAAGAGGAAGGTATGCTTGGCAAATCCACACCGTGTTCAACTCCTGTGCGGAAATCAATGTCCCCACTGTGGAAGGACGCGTGGATCCAGAATTGGCCTCCACAGTTACTTACGGTAAAAAAAGGTAAAGGTACCCCTGCCCGTACGGGCCAGTCTTGACAGACTCTAGGGTTGTGCGCCCATCTCACTTAAGAGGCCGGGAGCCAGCGCTGTCCGGAGACACTTCCAGGTCACGTGGCCAGCGTGACGAAGCTGCTCTGGCGAGCCAGCACCAGCGCAGCACACGGAAACGCCGTTTACCTTCCCGCTATAAAGCGGTACCTATTTATCTACTTGCACTTAAGGGTGCTTTCGAACTGCTAGGTGAGCAGGAGCTGGGACCGAAAGATGGGAGCTCACCCCGCCACGGGGATTCGAACCGCCGACCATATGATCGGCAAGTCCTAGGCACTGAGGTTTTACCCACAGCGCCACCCGCGTCCCTTATTACTTATGGACTCACTATTAAAACCATGTTTATGGAAGACAATCTTACTCAGCTACGAATGATCATCAAAGAGAAGAGATCTTAGGTGCCAGATGAAAACCTTTCTCTTCAACCAGGCATTGGGATGACTGGCATTCTATGTTTAACTGCAAAAAAGAAACACAGAACCTGCTGATTTATTTACGGCATTTCCATTGCATCTTTCCATTTTGGCACCGAGATGGGGAAGCCACAGTCCTGCAGCTGTTCTCAGACTACAACACCCATCAACTCAACATCAGCCATGCTGGCGGGGGCTGAGGGGAGTTGGAGGCCAACAATGTCTGGATGACCACCTGGGTTCCCCAACCCTGTTTTAGGATTTCAGGGCAGCACAGAGCCAGGGACATCAAAAACACAAAAACAAAAACAGGAGCAGAAATATCAGATAAAAAACCTCCAACTCACAGCCATTTAGAATTCCTGGGTAAGTTAGCATGACTAGGCCTGCCTCCAGATTTAGGTGAGCTCCTGTTGCTCGGTCTTTGCTCCTGCCAACCTAGCAGTTCGAAAGCACGCCAAAAGTGCAAGTAGATAAATAGGTACCGCTCTGGTGGGAAGGTAAAGGGCATTTCCGTGTGCTGCTCTGGTTTGCCAGAAGCGGCTTAGTCATGCTGGCCGCATGACCCGGAAGCTGTGCGCCGGCTCCCTCGGCCAATAAAGCGATAGGAGCGCCGCAACCCCAGAGTCGGCCACAACTGGACCTAATGGCCAGGGGTCCCTTTACCTTTACCTTGGCACCAGGCAGGTCTCTTTGGGGAGGGTGCTCCACAACCGCTGCCACAAAAGCTCCTCCCTGTGTTGTTAAGTACTCTGTGGAAGCTCATTTACTAGGAGAAACTGCTCATTGCCCTGCCAAGGAGAACTACAAGTGAAAAAGTTTTCACAAAAATCTCATGGCCAGAACTAGTGGCTACCATTTTATTACGGATTGCAATTTTATTGCGTTTTGGGGATTGGGGTGGTATACTGCCTCATTCCCATTTATGAAAGGTGGTATGGAAATATTTTAATCAATAAAATTGCGCTTGATAATTTTGGAGCCTTAAAATTTTTTGGGAGGGACAGATGATGAAATGCTAGTACAGTCGTACCTTGGTTTTTGAACAGCTTAGTTCACAAACAACTCGGAGCTCCAACGGTGCAAACCCGGAAGTAGGCGTTCCAGTTTGTGAACTTTGTCTCAGAAGCCGAACGTTTCAGAAGTCGCACGGACTTCGGAACGCATTCTATTTGAAAACCAAGGTACAACTGTATTTTGAATTATTGATGGGCAGGCAAATGGTTGAATTCTGCCATTAATACATTGTAAGAAATGACAAACAAACCCTGGAGTGGAACTGGCAAGTTTTACTGATGGACTGAAAAACATATCACTCTTACTTCGATTCCAGGTGAAAAATCGCCAGTTTACAAAATTTGAAATGACAACTAGTCCTATTTAAAAAAAGATGAAAAAGAAGATGCAATTGATATTTTGTTTCCTTACAGTTATTGGGAGCTTGATTTATAGATGAAAACTAATAGCACCAATGAACAGAGGCATGTTGGTCATTAAAACTGAGCAAGATGCCAGCATTTAAATATAATTGGCTCTGGTGTCATAAGCAGCAGACACATTTTATCCTTTACCCAATCCTCTCTGGAAATTGTTAAGGGCCCAGACATCATAATTAATGTATATTACAAGCTTCCTAAGAAATAAAATCCAAATGATTTCTTACTGAATTATTTTGTTCCCATTTAGGAGGTACAACAAGCAAGGGTTTCTGTCTAGCTTCCGTAGTTCGGATCATTTCAATTAAAACTGAAAACAAACAATCCATAAACAGAATGCTTTCCTTTCCCATAGCAACATGAGCATACAGGCTGAGGAGCCAAATTTCCGCAGTCAAGAAAAATCCAGTTGTGAAGCTACCATTTCCATCAGCTGCAGTCAACATGGCCAACCATCAAGGATGATGGGTGTTGTAGCAACATAGGAAGCTGCCTTCTACTGAGCTGAACCTGGAATCTTCTGCATGGAAGTGGATGTTCTGCCACAGAGCTACAGCCCTTTCCCATAGTTATAATAATAATATAATAATAATTTATTATTTATACCCCACCCATCTGGCTGAGTTTCCCCAGCCACTCTGGGCGGCTTCCAATTGAGTGTTAAAAACAATACAGCATTAAATATTAAAAACTTCCCTAAACAGGGCTGCCTTCAGATGTCTTTTAAAGAGAAGATAGCTGCTTATTTCCGTCACATCTGAAGGGAGGGCGTTCCACTGGGCGGGTGCCACTACCGAGAAGGACCTCTGTCTGGTTCCCTGTAACCTCACTTCTCACAATGAGGGAACCGCCAAAAGGCCCTTGGCGCTGGATCTCAGTGTCCAGGCTGAAGAACAGGGGTGGAGATGCTCCTTCAGGTATATAGGACCGAGGCCGTTTAGGGCTTTAAAGGTCAGCACCAACACTTTGAATTGTGCTTGGAAACGTACTGGGAGCCAGTGCAGATCTCTCAGGACTGGTGTTATGTGGTCCCGGCGGCCACTCCCAGTCACCAGTCTAGCTGCCGCATTCTGGATTAATTGCAGTTTCCGGGTCACCTTCAAAGGTAACCCCATGTAGAGTGCATTGCAGTAGTCCAAGCGGGAGATAACTAGAGCATGCACCACTCTGGCAAGACAGTCCTCAGGCAGATAGGATCTCAGCCTGCGTACCAGGTAGAGCTGGTAGAGAGCCACCCTGGACACAGAATTAACCCGTACCTCCATGGACAGCTGTGAGTCCAAAATGACTCCCAGGCTGCACACCTGGTCCTTCAGGGGCACAGTTACCCCATTCAGGACCAGGGAGTCCCCCACACCCGCCCAGGGAGTCCCCCACCCCCGCCCACCCCCTGTCCCCCCAAAACAGTACTTCTGTCTTGTCAGTATTCAACCTCAATCTGTTAGCCGCCATCCATCCTCCTACCGCCTCCAGGCACTCACACAAGACCTTCACCACCTTCACTGGTTCACTAGTTGCAGTCTGAAATGTCTTAGGTACACCACTTAGGGGTTTTTGACAGCAACAGCGGCCACACCCCAAGAACAGCTTCAACGGGCTGGAAAAACTATGTGAAGGTCACTGATGGGTCTCAAACCCTCAATGAGTTTTGGACTGCATGAAAAGACAGGCTCTGGCCGATTAAGCAGATAAGACCAAGGCTGGATCTACACACATCAAAAAAGCGTTTCAAGAAAACTTGCTGTAAACCTCAGAGTGGGAAATCACACTGGTGAAAGACAGGACTCCACAGTGCCATCTGGTGTCACAGTGTTATAAGGCAAATAAA